TTCCAAAATGAAAGTCAAGCACAGTGTGTGAGAGAAGCTCTTTCCCCCATTTTTAGTAACACTCCTTGAGTTAATAATGAAGTAGCTTGAAAAGCAAAGATTTCGCTTAGGAAGCACAACACTAGAGTCCCGGCAATTAGAAACAGGTGCACAGCAGCACATTCTGCTAGCAGTCATCTCACTCAAATACGACTCACTCTCCTTGTCATCTTGGTCACCAGAACCATCATACCGCAGTCTACAGGTGGTCTCCGCAAGTTCAGAAACAAGCAAGTGGCAATGGAAGCAACTTGGTGCATGACTCACCTGCATCTCCAAACGGACTCGATTAAGCACAGAAAATGTAAACATTAGTTTCTACAAAGAATGTATTTCAGGAACTATACAAAAACAAAGCAAGCAAGCAAGCAAACAAACAAAAAACTAAAACCTCACTAGTGCCAGATGATTTCATAGGGGCATTATTCTAATTCCTCATATATCAGCTTGATCCTATTCCTGAAAAACTGTATCCGTATTACTGCTTAACAATGTACCAGAGGAATTAGTCAATGAAATTAGGTAAAATAAGGTAACCAGAGGCATAATATTTGATAAAAACAACAAACAAAATATTCTATCTATGCAGATAATACGATAATATAACTAGAAAATTCTACATAAGCAATAAGAAAGCCATCTCAAACAATGAAAGATTTAGTATTATGCAGTAATAGCTTTCATATCACAAACAATAACAAGTTAAAAAGATAGAGTGGTAGAGAGTACACAATTTACAATTTGAATAATGACGGTTCTCCCTTGAAAACAAGCTTAACAAACTTGCTAATAAACTTTGCAAAATGTAAAATGTAACAGGAAGAAAATTTAAAACCATCCCTGAAAAGCACAAACATAGATTTGAACAAACAGAAAAGCACTTCATATTATCAAATAGAAACACTCAACCTTATGCACCTGTTAATTCTATGAATAGTTAAGTTGCAAAGTTAAGACAATCTCAAAAATACCAAAAAAAATTTTTTTAAGTTAGAAAATAGGCTTCTGCTTCTACTAGCATTTTGCTTCTAGGAAAAATAGAACAGTCATCCTTTTTCTTTCTAAGTGTAATTAAAAATCTTGAAACATAGACATATATATTTTTTTATGTGAAGACTTTAAAGAAAAAATGGAGAGAAGAAATCAGGAAGGGCCAGGACCTTGAGAACTGAGGAACCGCACAGTGGTGGGTGTATTAGTTCCTTTTCTACACTGCTATAAAGAACTGCTGGAGACTGAGCATTTTCACCAAATACTCATCACCTCAATCTAATCCTAAGAAACCATCAGATACATTGAAATCGAGGGACAATCTACAAAATAACTGCCCAGTACTCTTCAAGAGTGTCAAGGTCATGAAACACAAAGAAATCTGAAGAAATTCTCCCAGGATAGATGGAGACTAAAGAGACATGAAAACTACGGGATGGTAAATGAAGAAGACAAAGGGTAAAGGTGAAAAGATGCGGTTATCTCAGATGAATGTCTAGAAAGAGAATGTATACCACGAGATAAGCGGGCAATAAATGCAGTTAATAACATTGTATTGTGTGCTGAAATTTGCTGAGAAAGTAGATACCTAATATCTTAGTTGTAATTATCTAATATCTTAGTTACTTATCTGTTTATTCATCCACTGGAATAAAATTTCAATGTGAAAGGAAATTTAATCTACCATTTTTACTACTATACCCCCAATCCTAAAAAGTGAAGGATGTAATAATTGCCTAGTGAACATTTTTACTTCGTCACAGAAGGTGAATCCACATTTGGCATCATTGTATACTTGCACAATTTAAAATTAAACATGAAAATCGGTGCAGGTGCAAGAAGACTCACAGATTTGGTGACTGAAGAAAATCACAGCTCTGATCTGATGGAAAAGTCACTAATGACTCATAACCCAAGGGAAGAGAAGTAGAAAATTTGAAAAAAAAAAAAAAAAAAAAAAAAAAAAAAAAAAAAAAAAAAAAGACATATGAAATAGCATAGGAAGCCAGGAAGCCTGTGAGGGTTAGCTGACCATAATATAAAATTGAGTGACCATTTTGTTTTGAAATTTATGAACACATGATGATGCTTATCTGCCAGATTTAATGATGTAATGCAGTATTGGTCTTTACAGGCACAATGAAGACATTTCTGAATCATCTAGGGTTAAAGTGTTTCTAGGAGGAAAAGGAGGGAATGGAAGTGAGAATATTTGCGAGGGGATAGATTTATTTATGAGCCTGGCAATATAAACCAGATGAGTAGAGAAATAAAGACAGAAGGAACTGATAAAGAGAAAATAAAGGGTCTGTATGAGGCTGCATCGTTTTTATGTTGCACTTAAGCAAAGGAAGCAAAGCAATAAGAGGTGAATGTGATCGGAGAATGGGACAACTGGATTATTCACATCAGAAGTGTTAGCAAATTCAGGGGATTTCTATATGTCAGTGGCTCAGAAGCAGTAAAGTCATGGCGATAAGTATGTAAAGGAACAGATAGTGCAACGTTTCAGTGAGTCATGGCAAAAGCACTGCAGTCTCTAAGAATGAAACGAAGTGTTGAGATGGCAAGTCTAATAAATAGGAAATAAGTTTTTGGAGAATAGAAGAAATGAGCTGAAGCTTACTTGATGACAGAAAAAGTAGAACCTCTAAAATCTGTAAAACTAGATGTCACAAACTTCAAAAGAGCAGTGGAAGCTCTGGGGATCGGTGTGGAAGGTGACACTGAGAATCACGGAGGACAGGAGACCCACCTCTGGAACTCAGGCTCTGGGATGCAGGAGAACATGTGGCTTCCTGCATAAATGGCTGCCGAGGATGCTGACTCTCCATCATGAATCTTGGCTGCAGGTAATGCCAGGAAGCGGAGGGAAATTCTAAGAAGAGGTTGCACGTATAGGGAGTGTGCTGATCTTCAACCAGAGTGCTGTCCCTGGAATTTTCTTTTTAAATTCTACTGCTAAAAGATGATCCTAATGGCAAACCCCCCAAATCCTCAGAGAAGTCATGACATCAGAAAGTAAGGTTAAAGGCACACCCAGTCACCACTGTTATTCCAGCCAGTGCAAGATATAAATCCAGAGAGAATAAGTCCTAAATGCATCAAAGTGAAAGGCCTTCATTACATGTTATATGCAGATTTTTGGGTCTTTTTAATGTCTTCTTTAGCCAAGTAAAGGACAACTCGGTACTTTTATTGTGTGTTACCCTAACAGTGCATATAAGAAAATAAATATACTCTCATCGCATTCATGTTAGTCCTATTATAGCAATAGATTGGTCAGCATTGGGGATGAAGTAACTCAAGAGTTAATTAGTGGTAGAAACAGACTAGAATTCCAACTCCCCGCCTTACCTCACAGCCTCTTAGAACACTACCTTGGTCATCCTGTCTCACTTGTGTGTACCTAGGCAACAATCTTGCATGTTCTTCACATGTACCCCAAAACCTAAAATGCAATAAAAAAAAGAAAAAAAATGCCATAAACTTTTACAGTTACAACTTAATGACTTATCTTTGAGCAGACATTCAAAATCAAGCTAGTTTTTCAGTAACTTTAATAATCCTAGCTGTCAGAGATCATTACAATTTCTGGTATAAATATCTAATTTGCTTCTCATATGCATGATACTACTTTAATACTTTAACTACTGGTAAAATTCTGACAGCTCCAAGGGCTAAGATTCAGGTTAAAAAATTATTGAGAAGGTGAGCCCTCAAAGAGAATTTGGCAACAATTGGCTGGTGAAAAATTAAGTGCGTTGTTTTTTTTTTTTGCCATTACAGTTATTGTTGCACCAACCTATAGAACCTGGTTATTGAGTGGATGCTGAGCACTTCTTAAGCATCTGAATTCACTCAGTGTGTACCTATGGGTCATCTCCTGGGTGCCAGGTCTGCTGCAGACATGTGGGATTCATCTGCGTTTGGAACAAAGACCCCTGCCCTCAAGCAGCTGATTTTTAGCAGGTCAGGAGAGGAGTCAGGGGAACCCTGACAGCAAATTCTAAGTATTTTAAGAAAATGACAGGACACATGAGAAGGTGACCAGTGATGTGTGAAAAAGTCAACACCAAGCAAAGAACACAGATGGGGGAGAAACCAACGAGGGATGAAGGGGAATTTTGCAGGGCGTATTCAGGATAGGACTTACTGAGCTCCTGAGGTTTTAGCAAATAGCTGTGTGATAAAGACGCTGACTCCATTTTTTGATGCTTGAAATCATTTAAACCACATTGGCCAAATGCTGGTCCTGGTCCTCATCTGAGCTTGTCCTACATCTGGACGAGCTGAGAAGAAAGCCCGAGTGCTCCCACGTGGACAGTGGCAGGAGATTCAGTTCACACAAGCCCCCCGTTCTGGGCACCTTTACTCAACCCCACCCACCTGCCCACCACAGTTAAACCCCTAGCTATGCACCTTTCCTTGCTCTTTCACACCATTTGAGACCTGTTTAAGAAGTTCACCCTGTTCTCCTGTTTACGTAAATATACCTTGTTACACTGTCTTGGGGTGTGTGTGTGTGTGTGTGTGTGTGTGTCTGTGTTTGTGTTTGTGTGTGTGTGTGGCATCATTGCTCTCAACATTGAACCAAATTTTGGGGATGCGAGTCCACCTGTCTTTACGGGATTCTTAACGTGGGGACAGCTGAGGTGGGAGGTACCTGCCACATTCCTGGAACGGTGCAAACTGGCATCCGACTGACGCGAGTTAAGAAATAACTGGAGAAAGGGTCGGATTGTAAATGATGGGGGTGGAGGACGTTAGATCATGGGAAGCTTTTTGGCTCTTTTAAGAACACAGATTTTACTCTGAATGGAATAAACAACCACGACAGAGTTTTGAGCAGAGGATGGGCATGATCTGCTTTTGTTTATTTAGTTACAGTAGCTGAATTGAGATATAATTCACGTGCCTTAAAATGTGTACTCCATGCCTACAATTCAGTCGCTTTTAGTATATTCATAAAAAACATGGAATGCCTCATTAATTTCCGTGTCATCCTTATGCAGGGACCACGCTCCTCTTCTCTTATGTTCCAGTTTTAGGAGCTGTGCTGCTGAAGTGAGCACGTGTGGTTGGCTTGCACGGCGACTCTCTTGCTGCTGGGGTGAGAATAGCCTGAAGGCTGTGGAGCAGGGACCCAGAGGGCACACATGCAAATCCAGTGACAGAGGACGGTGGTTCCGGCTGCAGTGGTGAGTAGCAGAGACATGGTGACAGTTCATGAGGTTCTGAATCTTCCAAAGGCAGAGACAACAGGATTTCCTGATGGGTTGGGTGCTGCAAGTGCCGTTTGTTCTGTTCAAAATTAGGACATCTTAGACGGAAATCCAGAACTAAAAGGGCAGCCAGTTACCGCCCACGGACACTGAAAAAGCAAGAGCTGTTTTCTGCTTCTAGTGACAGAAGAAAGCTGCTGTGGTGCAGATTTTATTATACGAAGGAAAGTCTCCAACTTCAAGGCCCAAAGTCGCTAGACACACATAGAGCTGAGGGGTGGAGCCACTAAATTTCCCTGAAAGGATCACTAGCCCGAGAGCCAAATAGAGACTATGTCCACAGCAAGCCACTCAGGACAAAGGAAAGTGACAGACAGACGCCCATAAACGAGTAAATAGTGGTGACCAAATACACGCATGGGTACTCGCTGATTTAGGAATTCATAGTGTGTAACTGCCTTGCTGCTCTGTTTCGCTTTTCTCCCCCTCTCTATCTGTTGCGCTCACTCTATTTTTCTGCCTCTATTCCTCTCCGTATTTCTCTCTGTTTCTCCCTTTCTATTCCCTCTGGCTATCTCTCCCTGTATGTATCTGTCTCTCTCCATTTCTCTGTCTCTTTATATCGGTCTCTCTATTTCTTCCTATTATCTGCCCTCCAGCTTGGTCTCCTTCCCTCTGTATGTGCATATGTGTCTATCTGCTTGTCTGTCTCTGTCTCTTTCTCTCTCCGTATATATTTCTCTCTCAATTGTTAAAGCACTTCTTTGAAGGCTGTCTAACACTGTCTTGGCTCGGTAAAAGAGACAGGAGAGTTTCCACACTATGGTGGGTATCGGTGGGAGGATCAGAGCTCCTGATTCTCTGTCTGGCCACGGCAATGCCAGGTTTGTGTGGTGTCATATACCCTGGAGTTATTGAAACGGCAATGAGGTTGGGAAGTGAAAAACCAACACGAAAAATTTGAGGACAACCAAAGTGGACAACCTCCCTCCAAACTTTTTTTTTTTTTTTTTTTTTAGAACTTTTGATTACCAGAGGCCTTATTTTATATCGCAATTAAGAGGACTTGAAAAGTACCTCATCAAACAAGCATGCAGAAATGAAAGCATTGGGGAGCCAGTTGAGTGCAGTTAATTTTTATTTACAGTCTCTCTCCGCTCTGGCTTTATTTATCGCCAAGCAGCTGGAAGGGTAGAATCCACCAGAGGGTAAATCACTAGTTCTGTGTGAACGGGAGTATCTTTCTAGTGCATTGTTCAAAAATAGATCACAAGTGAGATTGACACAATTCAGAGCAGCTTGTTTTTTCCTCCTTAAACGTCACGGTAATGCAATCCTGTCTCGACAAAGCCCAGGTTGCACAGCCCTGCACCAAGGCTGGGACTCTCCCGTTCCTCTGGCTCCCACTTGAGGAAATGCTGCATTCAAATCCGGAAGGAAAACACCAGAGTTGAAGCTAAGACCAAAAAAACACCAATTAGGAAAACAATCTGCTGAGCCCGTTATATCCAGTTCAACAACCATTCTCTATTATTTGGGGACATTAAAACTAAAAGGGCTGCTGGTGCTGTTATGAAAGATTAGATTGATTTTTAAATCCCCCCACACTCAAGACTTCACTGCCTCTTGCCAAAACACAGTCATCCCGCACTGAAACAGAACCCATCTTTGAAGGTTGATGACATACACAAGGCTGGCTACATTCCATTGGAGAAGATGCCTTATAAGGTGAACAGAACCCAGGGTTTGTCAAAGATGTTATGATATATCGGGGCTGCTGATATAAGAATATATGGAGTGAGAATTGAGACATAAATTATGGATTTTAAAACTTCTTGAATTTTTTTAAGATCTATAGATCATGCATAAAAATGTACTTAAAAGTAAGATAATGACAGCTATTGTCATTCCAAATCTTCTCAAAGTAAAGATTCTAGAGTAAATCTTCTGGGAGTGCAAGCATTCTCAAATGCAAATGAAAACAATTATAATCAGTTCCCAATAACATGAAAATAAATCAGAGTGCAGACAACTTAGGAGATGTGTTGAGGGGTTGATAAAGTGTTGATATTTAGCTACAATGTGTTATAGATTTCTTCTGTATTTGCATTGTATTGGGTGCCATTTATCAAACATAAATCAATTTCAGTTTCTGTAAGACAAACACTAAAAAAAAATTCTGATAGCCATTTCGAATGCAAAAACTATCTCTCCTGTCTCATCTTTCAGAAAAGAAATGGAAATGCCCAGATCAAAAGTATGACTCCCCCTCTTTGAGTTTGGCTTTTTGTTTTTGTTTGTATTTTTTTAAATTTATTTTGTCATTCTGGGGTGACTTAGCTGCTTGGAGGAACTGCTACAAAGGAGTATCTTATCTTAAGTTGCATTTAGACTTGGTTTTACGAAGAACTAACAACACAGTACTAAGTGTTAGAATTGGTGCATACTGGTAAGTTACACTCTCATAAAGGTGTTGAATTACGAGTTTTTAAGCAGGTTTAATGTGTACCCAAGTCTTCAGATTGTCATATTCATTGTTAGAGGATTTGAGCATTTTCTTTATAGCAGTCAGACCCAGAGACAATTTGGTACATATGTTTCTAATTTACTCACACTTAGCTCATTGAAGTCTGGTTTTGTGGAGGAAATACGATGTCCAAGAAGACGTTGGGAGCCACTTTTCTTGGAAAAAGGAAGTCATGTTCTTTTCTTTTATAGTTCACAAACCGACTTCTAAAGATTTGAATGTATTTCAAATGTATGAAATCACAAAGTTCATGCATGTCCTAAATTTGGCAAGCCGTTCTTCTATTTCTGTTAGAATGATGTCACAGCGTGCGACTCAAGGCAGAGAAACAACCAAACCTCTGCACCAGAGAAGCAGACATTGAATTTCCAGTGTTCCTTTCTCTTGCAACTCCCTTAGACTGAAGCCAAATTGCTGGCACACAGACATTGTCCATCCATGATGTCATATTTCCCAGTCATTAGGGAACCAAGTTACAGCCTGAGCACATTTAATATTTTTACAGTTTGTTTTAATGCGCTTTAGAGATTTTATTGTTCTGTAGAATCCTATCAGCTCTCAGTAAATAGTATTTAATTTTTGGAAACTCTGTTTTGGAAGATAAATCATGCATTCCTTTCGAGATGATTGGAGACAGAATGTGGTGTTGGGTTCAAAGGCTTGAAAGCCACAGACCTTGGTGCTCCCCACATTCTCAGCTCTGTGATCTTGTACAAAATATTTTGTCTCCGTGTTTCAGTTTCTTCAACTATCAAATGAGTGGTAATACTCACCTTCGATTTTGGTGAAGCAAAGTAAATGAGAGCATGCCTGCAAAATGAGGAACAGCAGTGGCATTCCTAGTCTCAACAAACGCCAGTTTCCTTGCTTCTTACTTCACCTCACAAGGAATCTCCGTATCATTATCAACAGTAATCCACATGATGAGTTTTGCCAGATAACAAAAACCTACTTTTAATAACAGTTCAGGGAGTAAAATTTCTATGGCAACTGGGATTTAGCATCTTATTGGAAAACTTAAAGTGTCCAGTGGAGAGTGAAGCGATACTTTAAACTAGAATTCAAGCCTATTTAATTAAACTTTTAATCATGCTTGATGGACCTTTGACCTCTTCACAAAAAAGAGGAAAATTGGAGGGCGTCTTGCCACACTCCACTTGTCTCTCTCCTGCTGTTCCTTTTATCTTGGCTGTTTACCTGTGCATTGTATCAGCCCTGACAGCGGGCAACAGAGCCTGGGTGCCACTCCAACCACAGCCACTTCTGGGAAGGCCGCTTCGTGGCTGTTGAGTCCTGCACAAATAATTTATTTGAAAGAGACAAGATTGGAAAGGGTGTGTGTGATGTCCATATGCATGGTAAATTTTACAACTGTGTTTTCCTAATACTTCCGCATTTCCACAATAAGGCTGTGAGCACATTTCAGGGAACCAGGTGACTGCCCAGTGTGATGGGGCTAATTCCTGCCATAGACCCTCCTTGCCCTCCGCCACCAGGACCCAGTGACACTCAAAAGCACGAGAAAACCCCTCAGGTGTTTTGTGTGTTGTACTTCACCTGACCCCCAATAAAGACGGGATCTCACCATGTTGGTCAGGCTGGTCTTGAATCCCTGACCTCAGGTGATCCTCCCACTTCAGCCTCCCAAATTGCTGGGATTACAGGCATGAGCCACCATGCCTGGCCAACTTTTTAAATTTTTAAGCGCAGGTCCAACCCATTCTTTCACAACTATAATTTGGAATGAGAGACATTCATCAATTTTTTTCTGCCTGTCATCTCATTGACTCATTATCTTCTCTTCTTTCCTTGTCTTGTTTCTATAAGAATTCTTTTCTTCCGCCTTCTCCCTTGCATGTTCTGTTTGGCTACAGCAGGGCTGCGGGGACAGGTGAAGAACTGACATGGCATATTCCATTTTTATTATTGCTGTTTCTCAGTTGTTACAACAACTAAGCAAAACAAGAAAATCACATACATGATTTAGGACAGGCTTTCTCAACCTCAGCACCATGGACACCATCGGCAGAATCATTCTTTGTTGGCGGGAGGTTATCTTGTGCATCTTAGAATGTTTAACAGCGTCCCCTGGGCCTCCCCTGACTGGATGCCTTTAACAAGCCCTCCCACATCACGAAAGTCAAAAAGTCTCCAGGCATTGCCAAATGTACCCTGTAGGGCAAAATCAACCTCAGTTGAGACCCACTGGTTTACAATTGATATCTTTTCATAAAGCAATGATATTCAGAAAAGGCATATTCACATGGAGTTACTTGAACAGCCTGGCATTAAACGGTATCTAAAATAACTTATTACAATAGTA